TACATCTCTTGCTTGTAATATACCACCAAGTAGTGGGGGATTTGCTGCTTCGTCTATCCACGCACCAAACCAGTCTGCTGCTGAAATGATTCCTTGTGCAATGAGCTTATGATCTCAGTGAAGAATAAAGATTTCAGGCTACGCGCGGATGTTTGTTGTGGGCTGCAGCACAGACATGTTATCAAACAGCTCCAAACTGGCAGGATTTCTTCAAAACAACAACAAGAAGAATCCCAAACAAACAAACCCTGAACTATTAATGGGCTAAGCTTGCTCAAGTGATGAGCAGCGAGCAGGGCGAGCCTGGGCGCGGGACACAGTGGGGAAGGTGGTGGAACAGCCATCGCTGCGAGCGGTCCCTTATGGCTGTGATCTGGGTGCGGGAAGACACTTGAAAGGGGGAAGGCGGGGTGGTGGTTAAAGGAAACGGATCCCACTACAAAAAGGACAGACCTCCACACATCCTCCCACCAGCCAGGGCTGGGGAGCATCCCCACAGGAAGGACAGGAGTCCCTGGGTCCCCTGGGTCCCTTTGTCCAGGGAATGGGGCTGCACAGCACGGTGGGGAACTGCACCTCAAATCCTTAGAATAACAGAAGAGCTTCAAGTGACAGGGGCTGGGGTGGCCCCACACAGCAGACATGGTGATGGGCACCCGCGGGTGGGTTGTGGCTGCGTGGGGACAGGCTCTGCCTGGGGAGTGCCAATATGCTGCCTCGGGGCTTCCCGAATCCTGAAAGGATGCAGTGGGATGGGGCAGCCTTGGAAAGGGACTCCCAGCCCTGGCAGGGAGGGAAGCAGCCGCTCTCCTAGGAGTATATTTAACAGCAGCTTCTGCTCCATTGAGCACATCTTTCCCAGCGTTACTCCACTGACTTTGGTTTATTCTACATCTACTTGACCAATCTCACCTCCGCCGAGGGAGGTATCATCTCATTAGTACACAGACATATCTCAAGTATGCAGTGATGAATTCCCCCCGGAGCTTCAAAAGCAATACATGTGACCTTTGCATGTTCCTGCCATAAAATACCAGGAACACCTCCAGCTCCCAAGATAGAAGCTGTGGTGGGCATATGTGAGCAGCATACACCATATGGATTAAGTCAAAGGGAATACTTGGAAACTTCGACTCTGCCTTCAGCAAAATTGATTCCAGCAACAGTTTTAGCAATTTCTTGAGGATTTTCTGTGTGTTTATGATCACTGCAAAAGGATCTTTCAGCCTTGGCCTTTGAAGTGTCTCTAGCCCTGCTCCTACAATAGCTTTGGATTTAGTGGAGATCACAAAATACAGCATAAAATGTTAATATAAAAATGGAGACTTACAGCACGGCTCCTCTCTAAAAGGAAAGGCCTGTGGCATGTACATAAATCTGGTTCAGGGTTTCATTCAGACTCCTTCAGACCCACTTTTTTTTACTATCTCATATTGCAGCAGCAACAAATAAAACATTTAGGCGTGCTTAAATATTGATTTCATCTCTAGCACACACAAGTTCTTCTAACCAGTACGTTTGTACCCAGTACTAACAGCTACTGAGGCATCTTACTGGGGGGTTTAAAACTATTTAAAGCTGGTTTACATGTAAAACTTCTGCTTTTCGGAGCAATTCCACCTAACTGGAAGAGGAGCCGGCAGAGAGCAGAGAGCTGGAGCTATCTGGAGGTTTATCTGATCTTGGTGATAAAATTCCATCCCTGGGGTGACCTAAAAAGGACTGGAAAAGGCATGTGCTATGTGCTACGTGGATCAACGCGGCGCTAACGGCAAAGCGAGATGGATGATCTCATAGGTGTTTTCCAGCTCTCCTCCCTGCCGCTCCTCAAGAGCCAGTCAGAGATCAGGCTCCTTCTTTGTCATTAAATATTTTGGGGATGACACATTGTGCCCCTGGCCTGCCCAGTGACAACAGCTCAGCTGAACACCAGGAGGAATTTAGACTTCGGCATATCTCTTGACGCTGGGAGATAACTCTGGACCTCTCTGAACAGGAGAGGCTGCAGTTCTCCAGTTAAGTCACGTTAATGATCTCAGAGATTAGCAAAGCTGGTTTGGAAATCTCAGTATGTCATTAATGTCAAGGGCTTCCGGGAGAAAGCACTATTTATGGACTGCCTTCAGACCAACCTAGGCAGGCAGCAGTCTTCTGCCTTCGGTGCTGAAGGGCACCCGAATCCCAGCCCTGCTGTGCCTGGCTGCATGGATTCTCCCATATGGGAAGCAGAGGGAGCAGAGCCCCTGCTGCAGCACAGCCCAGGAGGTGAGCAGTGATAGATCTGCTGCAGCAGCTTCCCTCTGTGAGCACCCAAACCCCAGCACTTCCACAGGCAGGAAAATGCATTCCCCAGAGAAGCCAGGCCAGTAGGGGCGATGCGTGCATGGTCCCACAGCCAGGAGCACCAGCACCCATCCCGCTCCCTACCTGCCAGACCCAGCTCCCTGCAGTGCCAGGAATGGGATATTAATCAATGCCACATGTTTTCCCTTTCAAGTCACTGGAAAAAATGCACTAGCCCTCATTCTGCCTGGGAAGTCGGGAGGGCTGGGGGATGGAGCAGATACCAGAATCCTTCAGGCTGAAGCCATACCCACAGTGGATTTCACACGCCAAACGCTGGTTTTCAAAGCTCCTCTCTCCCCAGCATATTTAAGGCTCAGTCAGTAATTACAGAGCTTTTTCAGCAACAGAGACAGGCTGGAGAACCAGCTGACGGGCAGTGAGGCTCTCTGCACTACCACTGCTGAAATCCCCTGGGTTCGTTGTAGTTGGTTACAGCAGGAGAGCTCAGTGGCTTCATCAGGGACTGTGGTCCCATCCAGCCCGGTGCTGTACGAGCACTTAAGGACCACCCTTGAAAAAACTGACCGGCTGATAAACAACAAGGAGCCTGAGGAATCAAAATGCAGCTTGCTCAAAATTGTGCAGAGGGTTAGTGCCAAAAAGCATCGCCTGTATCCCAACACAGGGCTCAGGGTGTACTCATTGGGATGCTGTGATGCCAGCCCACCCAGCATGCCCTCAGGGAGCAGGGATACCAGGGTTATATGGCTGCGGTGATGCTCAAGCTCCCTTCCTAAATCCAAGATGCTCCCAAGGCAGTGCTGCTGGTGAAACCACCTCTCCCCCAGCACACTCAGGTTTGGCACTGCCAGCCTGATGGTGAAGTGCCATTTGTGATAGCCAGCTCCCGTCGGCCATGCCTGCCCCGACGGCACCCCTCTCATCTCAACCTTCCCGTTATCCATCAGCATGGGAGCTCCACAGCTGAAAGCCATTTAGGACATTGCACTGGTAACATAATACTTTGAAGAAATAATAAAGTGAGCCAGATTTAACCCAACTGAGCTGGAGAGGCCAAACCTCTGCCCACTGCCTTTCTAGAGACTTATGAAATACATACAAGGGGGAGGTGGAAATAGAGACAACCCTTCTCTGAAGCCCAGAGACACCTCTGATGGTCACCCAGCTGTGGAGATGGCGAGGAAAACAAAGTAGGAGACACAGTGAAAACACAGTGGAGTCAGAGGATGTCCAGTGTGGTACAAGCTGGTTTTCTGATGCAGAAATAGAGGCTGTGCAGTGTTAGGAAGGGTGGATCTTCTGCAAGGTACCTCAGCAGGACCAAACCACTTGGCTTTGCCCAGGAGCACCCTCTGCTCTGCCCAAGGATATCACTGTAGCTGCCAGTATCTCAAAAGCTGGCTGTGCTAATGACAGCTGAGGCTGCTAATACAGAGCCAGTTAATGAAGGCAACAATGACTGTGATTTGCTAGTGATACTATGGGCTCTATAACACCAAGCTTATGAGAAGTCCAATATACAGAGTATATATAATAGATAATAAGCCAAACTCTAAGAGCAGCCTCGGCAACTTTCTTAAGGTCCTGGAGATCATGGCAACAAACTTGGCTGTAAATCATGAGAACCTCAGAAGAACAGAGATCTTCTGCAACCCAGATCAGCCGATGCAGTGGCCAACTTCTGAGCTCCTTTATGCTCCATGCAAGCTCACTGAACTGAATCGTACTGCTATCTCACTGCATCTGCTGCAGCTCTCAGGCAGCAGGCTGTGAGGCTCAGCACAACCCTCCTGTCTGCTCAAGCACTGATAACATACTTTGTCCCACCCTTGAAAGACCTTTGCAATGGGGAGTAATGCTTCATGTAAGCACGCTTCAGCCTTCACTGACCTCACAAGGTGAATGGTTTATTGTGCTGTTATTCTTACCTGCGTGGCAGGAGCCACGCCACAGCAAGCCTTACCTAACAAGGACTGGAAAATCCCTCCAGGGCCTGGCAGGACTACACACCCATGTGTCTGTGCCAACAGATACGCCCAGCAGACCATGCTGAGCACTAGTGCCAATGGTCAAATTCCAAGTCCAGGTACTTGCACTCAACCGAAAGGCACTAATGGATTTTAAGAGTGTGCAGTGATATAACAGCAGTGTGCAGGCAACTTCATGCTGTGATGTTTCAAGACATCTGGGAAAGGAGTGACATTTTAAGTAGGAAATCCTCTTTCCTCCGCTCTGTCTGCCCAGCTGGCTACAGTTGGAGAAATGTTGGAACAATGCTTTCAGGTCTGGCCAAAGGAAGAGGAGTCAGGCTCAACACAGCCATCCTGACCAACACCTCCTTGCAGTACAGATGCTCAGGGATCAGTATGGGAGGTGATGATGGTCATGAGTGATCTGGATCCATCCATTCTTCTACAAATCAGACCCCTGTTCCCCAGCCCACACTGCACTCTTCCTACCTTCATCTGCTTTGCCCTGTTGTTCTTGTTGCACTACATCCCAAAACCCCTGTGTGAAAGAGAAGCATTGAGATACACTCAAAATCCAGTGCTGAAGCAATCCACATGACCTCTTTTGGAGAGCTTTTACCAAGATCTCTTCTCCAAGGCCTTTTCTTCCACGTGATTGCTTAAAAAGCCTGAATGCCCACTTTGGGATGCCCAGGCAAGGAGATAAACAACAGCAACACTCACCCATCTCCTTGAGCTCCATATTAACAAGTTCCAACCAGCAAGCATCGAGCTCATCCAGGTCATAGCGGCTCATTCCTTGCAAATAAGTCCTCGTAGCTTCCGAAATCTCGGAGCCAGGCAGGCTGCTTGGTGAGACCTGTGAAGGTGAGTTCTCCAGCTGGGGTATGATCCTGGAAGGAAAGAAGAGAGGTTGAGAAAGAGCTACCACTTGCAAAAGTACCCCATCTCTTGCCATGGAGGATGTGACCACACCATCTGCAAACCTGACTCCAAGAATGAAAGCAAGACAACAAAATCAAGGGGGTTTTGCACACTCAGTGTTGTCTCCTCTGCCTTGGGATGCTCCGAGGACCATGACTTGGACACAAGCACTTTCCCATAGACTGCTGGTCTGGGCACCTATGTGATGGTTTGAGTCGGGATGTGTCAAAACAAGGTGATTCTCCAGCTCCCAGCTCCAATCCTCAGGACCTCAAACCTGGAGTCTGTGCTTTTCCCAGTGTCCCAGAGAAAAGCAGTACAGGGAGGGGGAATGGCTCCGGCATCATGCCTGGTGCCTTGGGCTGTGATCAGGAGGGGAAGAAGCAGGCTGGGAATCAGGAATTTGGTTTTCAGCCTGCGTCTCCCCCTGCCTCAATGTATTCCTCACTGCAGACTGGTGGCATAACACCAATCCCTCCAGAAATAAAACCGGTATCAGTGCTGCTCACAAGCTTTACCACAACATTTCATCCATCCTAAACACTCACTGATGTTTTTTGGTACAAACCAGCCTGCACCCTGCACGGCTCCACACTGCAGAGCAGCACCAAACAGGCGGCTCAGCACCGGGCTCTCTGTGGGAATACGCCTGCTCTTCATCAGTTCTCCAGTTCCCCCTCACACCATGGGAAATTAAGCCACTTTTCCACTTTGTCTGGCTCCTTTCTTCCTCCCTGCCCTGCATTCCCACCAGCCGGGTGGCAGCAGCCTCCTACATGTTTGGATTCCCAAGTCAGTAACTCAATTTACAGCTACAGCCGCCAGCGTGAACCTCATGTTGCTGCCCCTGACGGAAGAGGGTTGTTTCTCCCCATGGGGGCTTGCAGAGAGGCTCACACATAAATACCACATCAGGGCAGAAATACCCCATTTGGGAGAAATACACTGTCCTGCCTGTGAAACTGGGAAATCTGCTGTGGAAAGCACATGGAAAGCACAGGACCAGGGCTGTTCCCAGTAACGATGCTCTTGCCCAGAGCCAGTGGCCCCTGTGGCGATGGGGACCATGGTACCAACCCACTCCTGCTCCACGGCTGCAAAGGGGCATCACACGCCCTCAGAAAGGCAGGATGTGCCTGAGCTGTGGGATGAACATCGGGACGGGGATAAGGCAAAGGCTTCTGCTCCCCATGCTGCCATCTCAGCCTCGCAGCCAACCCAGCTCCTGCCACCCTGCGGGCAGGCTGGTGGCACAGAGACACGGGGTTCGGCACCACCATGCCCTCTGTGAACATGAGACTCTCTGCCCAGTGGATGAACTCAAACGCAATGTTCCATCCTAGTTACAACAAGAAACATGAGCTCAGCCGGTGCCTTCTCCCCACTGCACCCAGCCCGAAGGCTTAGTGGGAGCAGATGAGTCTGTCAAGTCTCTCCAGAGGTTTCTGAGGACTGGAGGAGGCTCCAGCTCTGCCAGTGCTTCCCCTCTCTTCAGCCCAGGACCTGACTGCGGGATAGAGGAGTTGTAGTTTGGCAAGCAGAAGTCACCCAGCGTTGCTTGCTGCCCTCCTCCCAGTGATGCAGGCTGTCTTAGGCAGGCTGTCCACTTCCAGCCCCACTGCACTGTAGTCAACCGATGGTGGCTTCGGTGCAGTGGTCCCAGCATGGGCCTGTGGCAACTTTTCTTTACCTACAGTTATAGTTTTCCCATTCATCTACAGAAATTAACTCCTTAGATGAGAAAAATGAGATTAAATGGATATGATGGTCAAAATACTGAGACCAACAGTGACAGCAATTAACAGTAACAGCAACAGCCATTAATTCAAGCAATTGCTGTTAATTAACTTCTTCACTATGAGGATGGTTCTTCCCTGTGAGGGTGCTGAGGCGCTGGCACAGGGTGCCCAGAGAAGCTGTGGCTGGCCCACCCCTGGCCGCGGTTGGACACAGGGGCTTGGAGCAACCTGCCCTAGGGGAAGGTGTCCCTGCCTGTGGCAGGGGGTTGGGAGTGGAGGAGCTTTAAGGTCCCTTCCAACCCAAACCAGGCTGGGATTCTGTGATTCTGTAATTTACCAGAGCACAACAGAGACCAGATCCTGCTCCTGGACCGCTCAGATGAGATTCCCAAGCCACTCTCTGCAGATACCTACTCCCCAGAGCACCCTTTGCAGGCAGAGCAACCCCTGATTTAAAACACCCTCCAGCTCGCCACGCGCTTTCGTGCTGCATTCACACCGTGATGGGCAGCACTTGGCAGGCTCAGCAATGGAGAACATCCCATGGTGGTCTGTGAGATGTGTTCTGAGCTCTCTCTATTCCCCAGCACAGGGATGGGGAGAGGAGCTGCCTCATCTGCTGCAAGCTCCCTGCACAGAAAGCGAACAGGCGCTGGCTGTCAGCTCTTCTGCCTTCTCTTGGCAACTCTGCAGCAATATGCATGACACTTGCCATGCACACGTCAACAGTGTCATGCGTAATGACATGCAAGCAGAGGACAAGCTGGAAATGAAAAGCAGCCCGTGGTGCCAGCTGACAGATCTCTGCAAAGTTCGGAGCTGGCTGCATTGCACAGCTCACGTTCCCCCCCCAAAATACCACCCCCTGGCAGCAATGTCAACACAGAAAGATGCTGCAAAGAAACAAACAAGCAAACAGCAACCTGCTGCAGAACATCACCCCCTTCCACGCGGCCCCTGAAGATCCAGCCCTGCTCCTGCACCAGCGCCAGCTGGGAAGCCCTTTGGCTCCTGCAAGACTTTATCTGCCTCCTGTCCTCACATGTGAGTTAATGTCAGAGCATCGAGTGCCTCATGCTCTGTGATGTGTCTGGGGCAAAGCCATCGTGTCCATCAGGTAACCAGATGATGTTCCAAGGCCTGTAAGTGCCAAGGGAAGAAATCTGTGCACAGCTGCCCTCGGGAACAGGACCCTGCCTGCCTTGCCCAAGGCTGCGAAGCCAATCTGTGGCAGGGCAGGAAAAGGAACCTGGAGTTTCTCCAGACCCAGACACATAGTTTAACTGCTGTCCTCTGCAGCCACAACCATTGGAGGCACTTCCAGAGCCACCAGCGGGAGAAGCAATCATTTCACTGCTTGGAGAGGAAAACATCAAGGAAGGGGTTCATTTTGCCCCTTTTTTTTCCCTACCAGCAAATTGAAAATAAAGATGTATCCCAATGCCCCGAGGACAAGTCCAAATTTCAGTTCAGGATCTGAAAATAACCCTGTGAAAAGACAGCTCTGACTCCCCAGATCTTAAAACGAGCTCAGTGTAATCTAGGACAGGGCTTGGGGATTCAGCAACGTCTGTATTTAATGCAGAACAGCAGTAATAACACTGAAGCGAGGCGTGCTCCTACTCAGGCTTCAGGACTGTCATCTGAGGAGCTCCCAACTCCTAAAATACACACTGTGCAACGTGCATTGGTCCAAGAAGGACTGAACCTCTCCTTCCCACGAGCCCAGGTCCAGCTCAGCTTTGCAAAGGGCCCGTGGTGGGTCAGCAGAGCGATCTTACAGGAGAAAGCTCAAAGCTGTTGAGAAAAAAACCCTAATCCTCTGACTGCAATGAATATTCCTGTTGGAAAGAGCCGTAAGCCTTCCTTAAGCCGCGTTACACAAGCTGCTTGCTGAACAACCGGCTGCAGCAGGTGATGGGGTGACACGGGCCAGCCGGGGATGCTCGGGAGAAAGGAGCCGCTAATTTTAGCCGGGCAGAGAAGTGCAAAGATTAATGCTCTGTGTTAGTACCAAAGGAGCAGCCCGAGCAGGTCGTGTGCTGCACTGACAGCCACTGAAACACACTCAGTCTGGTAAGGATGTGGATGGTGACTGGAGGAAGCCCTTTGGGTTATCTATAATGTGGGACAGATGACACCACAAGCTGAAAGCCAAGGCGCTGCGTTCCCGGGGCTGCTGGCACGCAGGATACAGCAGCTACCCCAGGTCAGGCGAGGCCAGGTCAGGTCCCATGTGTGTGTGCAGCCTCTGCCTTCTCATTGCAGCTATCTCATGGAAAAGGAGTTTTGCTGAACCTGCTGCTCAGAGATGGGAGATAAATGAATCTCCTTGATTATGCAGCTGCCTGCTGAATGCTACCGAGCTCCCCGAAACCTGGATGTGTGGTTAGACTCTCAAGTCCTGGCTTTGCACAGAACCCTGGTGATACAGAGATCACAGGGAGCTTCACTGATGAGAGCAACGCCACCGGCAAACATCTCCACATTCAGCTTTTCCTCACACTGCTCCATTAAATGGAGTTTGCTTTGGTTGAACAGAAACTGGAATTTACTGAGCGACTCTTTGCTCCTCTGCTGCTGAAGATCGAGTTAATTAAGAAACAAAGATTCAAGAAGAATCCCAAGATAAGAGACTCTTACACTAGTTTGCTACTGACATGAATTTCATGCTTTAGCATAGCACCGGTGGGAGATGGGATTCCAGAGCCAGGTCTGGGCCTCCGTAGGGACAGCAGTGCCTTTTGTCAGGACACTTTGCATTGCTGAGTGGCTTTGAGCTGTGACTCGAGCGGTGCTGTTACGTGCTGCCCAACAGCACCTTGGACATAACTGCAAAATTAGGTTTTATATAGTAAACAGCATGAATAACCTATATATAGAGACCTGCGGGAAGCCTGGTCCAGATCAACCCCTGACTCATCTGTAGCACTTAGTTAAAACACAAGATTTTTATGGCTCACAAATGATTCAGCAAACCACACAAGAGGCTGTCCCTGCTCCTATGAGCATCCCTCCCACCCCGAGGGGTGCAGGAGGCGGACAGATGCCAGGGCTCACATGGGACACCCCAAGCCTCTGGGAAGAACAAGCAGGATGCAACACCCAGAGATGCGCAGCCTCCCATCTACTCCTGCATTTGCATTAGTGGTAAGAATCATGTTCCTAAAAAGCAACCCATCCCTCCCTGATCCATGCTAACACACTGCATATAAATGTTCAGATATAAA